CAGTTTGTGCAAAAATGTGTGAAGAAGAATGTCAAATAAAATTGAAAAAATTGGATCCTGTATATTTCAATGGGGAAAACCTGGATGTAAAAATTCTGTACCCTGATATTGAGCTCTTCAACACGGGAGGTAAAAATATTGTAATTTTGAACTATCCCGTATGAACTGAATCATGACCAGGGAATAAGCTATTTATCCTATAACGTTTATATATCATCATACATTATGCTTTTACATGTATTTTATATCATACACTGTCTTCTTGAAGTGCACATGATTGATCATGATGAATGATAAACATTTTGTATATATGTGTGATTTTCATAAGAACCAAATTATTTTATTCAGTAATCTGTTTTTGACAAGAATGAAATAAATTGGTACCTTTTGAACAATATACACTTCTTCTGAATGCGTCGAATAACATTTTATCCAAATCCAATAAAAAACCAAGGTTATTAAGTGTGTATCTATGTCGATTCCAAATAACACAATGACAAGTATATTGTAGTACACTTTTTGCCTGACCCATGTATTATGTAACTGTGTATTGTATTACTGTTTACTGCATTTAAATGTCAAGTATAATATTTGTAATTTCACTTCAAAAGCATATCTCACTAATCAACCTTATACAAAAAATGATGAAACCCATTCAGCACAACCAAATCCATGTGCTCAAATATTACAAATCCAAGATGGCTGCCACAATTTTAGTTCCATGCAAATGTGAAGAAGTAAGAAATACACATAGATCATAAATCTTAACCTGAATGAAATACAAAGTTTTAGGTTTTCACACATGACATATTTCCTATATGATTTATATTGAAAATCGCTCCACTAGTTATCGAGTAACAGCAAAAATCGTAAAATAATGAGTAAAGACCTCCATTATTCAAGATGGCTGCCATGTTCTTCTTTTTTATCTACATTTCTTGCTTTATTATGTCCTACATAATTCTTTTACATGTAAAACATACAGCTATTACAGTTTTACATATTGCACCTAAATTACTGTAAAATCGGCACTAAAATGGCTGCCAGTTTTTAATGAGCGGCCATTTTGAAAATTGGCTTTTTAGCAGAACTTCTATCTCCATAGGGTATATGTGTACAAAATATGAACAAAATCGGGCCAATGGTATTTGAGTTATTGCCCAGACGGACAGACGGATGAACGGACGGACATCTTGTTCATATGCTGTTCATGTCATCTTCATTAGTCCAGCATGAAAATTTATTTGTAGTTGCTGTTGTTTTCTTCTCGCTTCTTCTGATTTTATTTGTCTTTTCCTTTACCTCTTTGCCTTCTTAGTTTCTTCTTCTGCGTTTCTGTTGTTGTTTCTTTCTTGTCTTCTTTAGTTTATTTTTTGTTGCTGTCTTTTTTCTTCTATCGTTTACCCTCATTTCGGAGACTGATATCTAGATTCTGTTTGTTCTTGTTGTTTTTCTCATTTCCTTATTTGTCTTAGAACTCTGACCATATCTTTCATATTTGATTTTTGGCTTTTTGTATTTTATCTGTATCCATTTATTTTTAGCAATTGTCTTTTTGATATATGCTGACAGTGTTTCTTTCTTATATCCTTGAGATATTAATTTTTCCCCTGAAGACTTGATTCTTTTGGAAGCAGTTTTTTCATCACTGCATACTCTTGATATTCTTGATATTATCTGTGACACAAAGACTCCACATGATTGTTTTCTAGGAATGTTTCCTGAAAGGTCTGGATAGGAAACTAAAATTAAAATCATCTCTCTTATCATAAATTTGTGTAGTAATTTTCTTGTGTTCTATTGTAAGTTTCATGTCAAGAAATGTTTGCATTTTCTTTGTTCAGTTTGAGTTCAGGAGGGTATATATTTTCCCTGTCATTTTCAAATTTTTCATCATTATTTCTACTGCAAAGGTCATGTATGAATCTAGCAGTTTTATTATATTTCATTGCTCCTCTATAGTCTTCTTTAAACATTTTTTCCATTTCTGTATACTCATATGCATAGAGATATAAATTTGCCATATATGGTGCTGGATCTATTCCCATCGGTATTCCAATTTTTTGTCGCATTATTATGTTTCCAGCTTTAAAGTATGCATTGTCCACTATGAAATCTACTAGTTCAAAACGGTCTTCTTTATTAAAGGTTGCCCCTTTGGTTCCAGTTCCTCCCCATTTTGCATCTTCACCATTTACACTAATCTTTTGATTTCTTCCACCTTTAAATGCTTTCGCAATGGTCCATTTTAGTTTTTCTTTCAGATCTTGTAGGTCTATATTTGTATATAGGGTCGAAAAGTCAAATGTCACAATATTCCTTGCTCCATTTCTCATATTTACTTCTTTAACAAATTCCAAGACATCATTGTTATTTTGGCAAATCAACATCCTGTTTGTTCCAGTTAGGTTTTTGTTCTTTTCACAGTATATTTCATTGCATTTTTGCACTAATTGAAGAATTTTCGTTAGTTTTCTTGCTGCTGTTTTTATCGAACTTTTCTTTGATCCTATGATGTACCTAAATTTGATCGGATTTTTGTGCATCTTTAAAGTAAGGTGTATGTTCGGAAGTATGTTTTTATCATCTTCTGGTACAATGTTGAATTTATCTTGAATAGTCCTCTTCATCTCATCTATAATAGATTTTTCGTCTTGTACTTCATTCTGTTCATATGTATTGGTTCGTATTTCTTCTTTAATTTTCTTCATGTAGTATTTTTTGCATATGAATCCAATGTTGTTAGCTGTCTTGTCTATAGGAACTATAACATACTCTTCTTTTAGTCTGTTTAATTCATGTATAGCTTCTGGATCTCGAAGCACTTGTTTTGGATTTCTTATTTGCTTGAATTTTCCTCATTTAAGTCTATCAATTTTCTCTTTCACTTTAGACATTACTTTAATTGTCCATTCATTTAAAGCTGATTCTGCTATTTTTTCCTTTTTACTCCATTTTTTTGCACATTCTTTTATTTATTTCTTGTTGTCAAAATTTATATATCTTAGGTCTCCTATTACAACATGTTGATGATACCCATTTTTGAACTTTGAAATATTGCATCTGCATTCTAGTTCATCATTGTTATCTCCATCATTTAATTCTTCTGATGTGTCATTGTAGTTGAATATTTTGTTCCTTATTGGTTTTGTATATATGAAAACTACTCCGGGAGGTTCTTTCTCTTTGACTATATCTGGTATGGTTTCCGTAGTATCTTTTTCTCTTAATATTTGCTGAATGTTAATAAATTCAACTGATTTATTGTCAAAAAGAATTTTGCATATATTCTTTGGTCTACTATTCTTTTTTCTGTTTTCTCCATTTTCATTTTTTCTAACAATTTTGTTTGAATTCTGTCGTCAAGTATTCTTTGTAATCTTACTGAGAGAGTTTCTTCATTTTCTATGTTTATCACACCTAGTTTTTTCACTTCAGCTTTGTCATCTGTGGAATAGTTTTCAAAATTTCCTTTATTCCTTCCTGAATGCTGTTTTTTCGCTTTTTCTTTTATGATATTATATACATTTATTGCATTGAGATTGTTTGGTCTTTTATAGTATCCTTTGGGTCTCCTATTTCTTCTTCTTCTTTTGTGATTGAAGTCTTTGTATATTAGATCTTCTTCCTTCCTCTGATCAATATTTTTCTCCAATCTGTTATTGATTCCATATGGATAAACACGTTGTAGTTCTTTTATCCAGTATGTTTCTCTATCTTCTCGTCTTCTTCTTTCTGTTTCTTTGTCTTTGTCAGACGGACGTACGGACAGACGGATTGACGGATGGAGGCGTTCCCTATATCCCTCCGAACTTTGTTTGTTGGGATAATTATTGACTTCAATTCAGAAAAAAGCATGCCATGGACTCCCCAGACATTATGAGGGGCTAACCTGCTTAAGTTAGACACTACTGTTAAATTGAGAGTGAAAATCATGTTCAGTCCTCAGGCTCTGATAACCAATGATTTTGAGGTTATTGTGTTGTCATTGCAAGAATTACTATTTCTACATCAAAAATAGACCATCTTTTGTATCTGACATAACCCCTTATTTCATGTAAATTTTCAGAAATTTGCATGTGCCATCATTGAACATAAGGATTCAACTTGTTATTAAGAATATTCAAAGAAGAATTTGTGAGTTTTTTCATTTTCACACTTTTCAAAAAATGAATTCAGAAAAGGGCCCCTTAATGGCATTCTCCCTTTCCATAATTGTGATCTACTCAAAAATTCCTTCAATTTCAATTTGAGTATACAGTGTTATATGACCATACTTTAAAGAGATCAGAAAATGATACAATATTTGCAATCTACCCTAAATTGCCATTCACTTGAGTACAGGGTGTCCCGAAAGTATGGGGCCCCCCCTAGGCAGACATATTCCAGTGTCCTCATAGTATGTATCATATATCATTTTAAAGCTTATCCAAAGTTACATTGATTTGCCAAGTATCATATTTTAACTCCCAACTGGGAAAAAGTTACAGTCATTTTAAAAGTTAGTGTTTTGTCAAAATAAAGTTCAATTTTACTCCATATTACTAGTCAATGAGTCCCCCCTTGGCCATGTTAACAGCAGCAATTATTTTCAGATATGACCTTAAAAGCCCTTCAAATAGGGGTGTAGAATTTTATAACCCTCTTAAAACCTGTTATGGCACTTTAGAAGAGTTTCCTTAGAGTTTCTACCCTCACCGTTCTCTTTTTCCAACTCAATATCCATCTGACCCGAAAAGAATTGCTGCTGTTACGATGGCCCTGAAGGACACATTGACTAGTGATTTGGTGTAAAATTGAACTTAATTTTGACCAAACACTAAATTTTGAAATGCCTGTCATTTTTTCACATTTGAGAGTTGAACCATGATACTTGGTAAATCAATGTAACTTTGGATGAGCTTTAAAATGACATATGACACATACTATGACGACACTGGTATATGTCTGCCTAGGGGGGGCCCCATACTTTCGGGACACCCTGTATAATAAAGCTTTACTTCAGAAAATCCTTGTTTTCCCAACATCCCATACACGGCCCCTGAGTGTCAAGCTGAAAAAATAGAATATATCTGAAATAGATAGATGTTGTGAATACAAAAGTTCAAACAATAATACATGATTTAAATGAAAAACTTCAGACTTTTGCGAAAAATTTCTACCATTTCTAAAGTGGTGGCCATCTAGAATTTTTTTGCATGAAACTATTAACTAATATATATTTTTCCACAAAATATGTAGAAAATCTAGGCACTAAATATAGTATTACACTTATCTTCCTAACGGAGGGCTTTGCTATATCCCACCAAACTTTGTTTGTTGGGATAACAAAAGACACTAGCAAATAAAACATGAACCAAAGGACGATTCTCGGTTTGGAGAACGAAGTTCATCAATATAAATGAGCATTATCCCTGCTTCGGACAAAGGAGGGCGAGTTGTTTGTAGAATGAATGGGGGGATTTTTTTCATGAATTTCGCTTATGTTTTTCATCCAAAAAACATCAATACACTTTAAAACATTTTGTTTACTTTAAGATTACACCATGTAATCCAAAAATATATTTCTCGTTTTCAAAGATAATCCATGGATTAACACCCAGGTATTTTTATTTTTCAAACTTTAGAGGGCTGGGAATCATTGATGCTCAACGCTTTTGAATATGATAAATGCTGTTTTAAATAGGTTTTACGTATGCCAATAATTTCTCAAATTATGTAAGCTGAATGCATTCCATAATCCCTAGAATATTCTCTTGGAGGAATCCAATGGTATCCAATGGTAGTTCCAAGCAGATTTTTAGATGGCAGGTAAGTAAATTCTTTAGTACTCGCCTTATTGGGTTGAGTTAGTTTATATTCAAAAATTATATATGATTCTGTAAAGATGTCAGTGTGGATGCTATATAGATTGCACACGTATGGTTAGCTGTATAATCCTATATTATGTAACACGAGTACAGTTTTGGTTGACATGATTGTGACTGAGTGAGAGATTAAACTCTTTAAGGTAGTTCTGCATGTTGATAATTTTTACTAATTTTGGTGATGAATAAATTATCTGATAATTATAAATTGGGCAATATTTTTGACATTTTAAGTGGATATAAAGAATTATGGTAACATACACATGGACCATGCATACACATACAATTACAAATGTGAAAATATTGTCCCTTTCATTGATTATCGGTATTTATAATCATGAAAATTATTGAAAAATATCGAGACATGTCTACCTTAAAATCAGATTGGCTTACAAGTACCCTAAGCTATTTTCACATTTTTATTGCAAGAAAATCTTTTTGCAAGGATTACAAAGGTTGAAATATTGTGGTGGCTCTATTTGGCTGGAGTTTAATATTCAGACCTAGCTATAGGTATTATTACATTTATATGTACACTAGTATCTTGTTGACCTATATTCAGCACTGTATTAATGAATGGGCCACTTATTAGGGCCAATATTCAATCATAAAGTGTACATGGGTAGAGATGCCAAACCAAGAAGTCTTTTTGTGTCTGTCAAAATCCATTTGCATCCTACACATCCCAACATATTATCCAAATATGTTATTAATTAATGAAACATAACAGTATAATCTTTGGATTTAGAAAGTTGTATGGGATTTCATTAGTATAAAAGTTGCTTTTGAAGCATTTTTCTATAGCCATTTTGTAGGAAAAAAATGATGGAAAAAATGTATAATCTTTTAATTTGAAGTATGACCTGAATCGATTGCAAACTTTATATTTGCACATCTGATGTGATATACCATTTGTGTCATACTGTGAAATTATTTAATTTGCAATCGATTCAGGTCATAGTGTATTTTAGGTATTTTTATGAAAATCAATAGAAACCAATGGCCTCAATTGGAATTGATGATATCCACATGTTAAGGATGTTCCCTGGTCAGATAGGAAAATATTCAATAGTATTTAACTTTTTCTCAAAAATGGTTTTCTGGGATTCTCACGGGCAACAAAGAATATTAAAACTTTAAAAACCATATGTTAGTGTGCTTTTTTCTGAGCAAGAGGCCTCTAAAGTGTCAATATTTGACAAAAGTGGGCGTGGCACTTTCTCATTGAAACCCATGTTAAAAATCAGGTTTTCACCCCAAAACACACTTTTGAATATTTAACTTTTTCTTAAACTCACAGAAACACTTAGTTATGCTATGTACTTCACATTTTGAAAAGAAAAATTAGGGGTTGGTGTTCATCGTTTTCAACTTCGTCCAGGGAACATCCTTAAGTCAATGGAGCCCATTCAATGGCAAGTCAATACACCCTTGCTGAACTAAATGACCTCAACCTTTTCCACAGTATTATGTGACATTGTATTCTTTATGTTACACCTAAAAATGATTCATTTTGTTCATGGGGATATCATAATGGAAAGTGCACTAGACCCTTATTGTAATTGTATGATATCGTATTTGTGATTTGAATATACACTGTGATATTTGAGAAAAAGAATGTTTTGTTTTAGTTTCATTGCAATTTATAACCCTAATATCCTTCCCAGAATCCTTCCTTGTCTTCCAATTTTCTAATAACCTCAGAAGTTCCTACTTTTAAAAAAAAATAAAATTTTCCATGATCATTTTTATGTCACCACCACAAGTGGTGACATATTGTTATGGTCTCAGACTTTTTTGTGGACGGTGTTCAGTGGTTGGTGTTTATCATTTGGCAGTTGGTGTTTGGCAGTTGGTGTCTGTAACAAATGGCAGGTGTTGACATTTTGCATGTGAATGCCTTGTCTTATAATGTAGCCAACTGCAATGGATGTAAAAGGGATACAGTTAACTAATACATTTCTTGGCATCAATTCAAATCATATGCTAATTTTAAATGAAAATGCTTTTTTCATGTTTTACCACTCATAAATGCCATAATATCTCGATGTCATATTCAGGAAAATATGGCTATCAACAAGTTTTGAATTCTTACAATCCTGGAAGTTGTACATGTAAGCGTACACATCTGTCAGTTCGGTTTATGTGTAAAAGTTAATCCCCTAAGCCTTAATACCTGATGCATGAAATATTATGAATGAGTTACATAATATGTACTCGTGCTATTTAGGTAAATGTTGTGCTGTTTCACCAGATTTGACTGACATCTTTAAATAACAACAATTTGATTTGATGATCAGACAGCAACAAAACATATTAAGTGGCCAAGACAAAAGAATGTTATTATGATAGGCATTCTAGGGATTAAGGAATGCATTCAGCTTACATAATTTGAGAAATTATTGGCATACGTAAAACCTATTTAAAACAGCATTTATCGTATTCAAAAGCGTTGAGCATCATTGATTCCCAGCCCTCTGAAGATTGAAAAATAAAAATACCTGGGTGTTAATCCATGGATTATCTTTGAAAATGAGAAATATATTTTTGGATTACATGGTGTAATCTTAAAGTAAACAAAATGTTTTAAAGTGTATTGATGTTTTTTGGATGAAAAACATAAGCGAAATTCATGAAAAAAATCCCCCGATTCATTCTACAAACAACTCGCCCTCCTTTGATTTTTTTACATAATATAGAGTTGAAGGTCTTCTTTTGAATGGTCATAATTTAATTTGGGTAATATTTCTAGATTTTTCGCAAAAAAATATTAGCGCAGTACACTTATGAACTTTTTTCCCCAAATCGAGACTTGTATTTTAATAAATCGGTCTAATTGATCGTTATTCCTGCTTCAGACCAATTTGTTATTTTTACATTTTGTAGATTTAAATGTCCTCTTTTGAATATTCATAGTTTAATTTGGGTAATATTTCTATATTTTTCATGAAAAAAATTATTAGCCCAGGAGACTGTTCTCCAAACCGAGAATCGTCCTATATTGATCGTTGTTTGAGTTATCACCTGGACAGATGGACAAACAGACAGACCAACAACTTCTCTACTTATCACAGTGGGATGATAAAACAATGCTTCAAAGCAAATGATAAATAAATAGTGTAAGTGTTGAACTAGTTACTCATAACCAAACCTGAAATTCAGAATGATTCCAGTGATAGATTTTAGTAGCTATAGGTTGAGTGATGTCAGCAGTCCACCAAGTGATGAGGACTTGGCTCCATTGGCTGATGAAGTCTACAAGTCATTCAGTGAAGTGGGGGCTATTTACTTAAAAAATCATGGCTTTGACCTTTCTCTGGTAAGTACACACATGTGTGTATAAAATAAAATTGTTAATATCTCAAAAACTTAGGATGTAGATATGATATCAAAACTAAAAACAACTGTCAACAAGGCATTAACATGACAAAATCTCACCACCTTGTTGCTTAGAATATTATGAGTTAAATCTTAGTCAGATTTGAATTTCTTAGAACTTGTTGAAAAAGACCTTTTTGACCTTTTTTGACCCTGAGAAGAAGGCCATTGAAGGTCAAATCTGAAATCTAAAGTCGGATTTGAACTTCTGATAACTTGTAGATGATTTTGAAAAAAGAAATTGGTCAATTTGAAGCAAGATGAAAAAAGACCTTGAGAATGTCATTGAAGGTCAAATCTTTTTTTGACCTTGAGAATGTCATTTAAGGTCAAATCTATAGTCAGTTGAACTGTTGAGAACTTGTAGATGATTTTGAAAAAAGATTTGGTCAATTTGAAGCAAGTTGAAAAAAATCTTTTTGACCTTTTTTGACCCTGAGAAGGTCATGAAGGTCACATCTCAAATCTAAAGTCAGATTTGAACTTCTGATAATTTGTAGATGATTTTGTAAAAAGAAATTGGTCATCCAATTGCAATAAAATCAATAAACAAGTATTATTGTAAAACTGGATTTTTTTTGCAATTGATTACATGCATTTTAAAAAGATTTCAAAGGTCTAGTTTTTAGGGATTTGATGAATCTCTAAAACTTGAATTGCAAAAAATGACTGCAGCTTAATTACATGTGACATAAAGTCATGAATGTTAGCACACATTAAGTAGAAAACCTAAGAATAATGAAATATGAAGAAATGAAGAAAAATCACTGGTCGCAGTATAAAGCGAAGGTAATAACTGAATTTGTGAT